CACCCCAAGGAAGATATAACAGAGCTGGAGAAGATCCAGGGAAAAACAACTAAGATGATCAAGGGAAATGCTTATCTTTCATTCAAGGGCAGACTGAAAACCTAAAAAGGATTAGACTCTCAGAGTGGGAAGATGAAAATGAAAAGGAGGTAGTGAGGGGATGTGAGATTAAAGTTGACTCTGGGTAAATAGAATTGTATTCAGTGAATTTCATAGCACTTAATTGGGGCCGCCCCTTGAGGTTAAGGAATGTAGATTAAAGAGAAACTGAAGTACATCTTTATTTATTTATAGAGAAATCAGTAAGTTTATAGAACTTCTTATTTCTAAGACAGGACTGAAGGGGAGAATGGGAAAAGTTTAAGAAACCACTGGATATACTCAATGCCAACAGATTGCACAGTGCATTGTAAGAAATGGTCATGATGCATCCTGATATTTTTTAAATGAAAATTACTAGGTTAATCGACAACACATCTATTGTTGTTTGCATGTGGGTCAGACTTCTGGGCTAGTCGCCCTGTGGGTCTGACCCAGTGTGCGATTTCTTATGCTCTTATTATGTCATCTATACAAAAACATGTTGCATGCAAGTTTGGGACTCCTAAATTCTTCTGACAGTCCAGCAAACAGACAAATAATTTTCTAACTCATTAAGAAAGCAAGAGAGAGTCCCAGCTCTTGGCTCCGCATGGTTTACCCATATGGGAGTGTGCAACATAAAAAGGTGAAAGAAATTCTAACAGAATGCAGCAGCTGGTTAAAGGCTATTATATCGAAATTTTCATGAGTTTGACAGTAGGCCAAAAAACTACAAAATGGCAGAAAGTGGAAAAGGCAGTTGTAACAGGTTGAACATTGTTGGTGATTATTTTTTGCAGTGGCAATGAAAGCTGTAATCAAATAACCTGAAAGAGAGGCTGGCAGGAATAGAAGAGCCCCAAGGGGAAGGGAAAATGAAGACTGTAACAATGATGTACACTGTGGACTAATAAACTAGACAAACATGTAGTTTAAAGTTTCAAAATCAAGGTTCTTAGCATCATATGAAAAGCCAGTGTTAGGATGCAGGCATAAACACTAGTTGATTGGCTATCTAGAGCAGAAGATGTTGTTGCAAACTCAAGGATAGGTGACTGATTCAGTAACTAACTGGAACTGTGCTACTGGTATAGAAACTTCTGGTTATGTGGATGATCAGTTTATTTCAGCATTGAAAAGGAACTATTATATAGCATTAAAAAATATCCAGAAAAAACACTTGTTTCTGCAGCTGGATATATGTGGTTAAAAACTCTTGCATGGAAGTCAGGACAAATATGAGGGTAAATAGGAGCTGGTTGAAATGATGTCATTACAAATACTATCATTATTGTTATTTGTGGACCAATGAGGTATCTCATGGGAAATAGATGAGGAGACAGTGGAAACAGTGTCAGACTTTTTTTTGGGGGGGGGGGGCTCCAAAATCACTGCAGATGGTGATTGCAGCCTTGAAATTAAAAGATGCTTACTCTTGGAAGGAAAGTTATGACCAACCTAGACAGCATATTAAAAAGCAGAGACATTACTTTGCCAACAAAGGTCCATCTAGTCAAGGCTATGGTTTTTCCAGTGGTCATGTATGGATGTGAGAGTTGGATTGTGAAGAAAGCTGAGCACTGAAGAATTGATGCTTTTGAGCTGTGGTGTTGGAGAAGACTCTTGAGAGTCCTTTGGACTGCAAGGAGATCCAACCAGTCTATCCTAAAGCAGATCAGTCCTGGGTGTTCATTGGAAGGACTGATGCTGAAGCTGAAACTCCAATACTTTGGTCACCTGATGCGAAGAACTGACTCATTGGAAAAGACCCTGATGTTGGGAGGGATTGGCGGAAGGAAGAGAAGGGGACAACAGAGGATGAGATGGCTGGATGGCATCACCAACTCGATGGACATGAGTTTGGGTAAACTCCGGGAGTTGGTGATGGACAGGGATGCCTGGCGTGCTGCGATTCATGGGGTCGCAAAGAGTTGGACACGAATGAGCGACTGAACTGAACTGACTGAAGGTATCTCAAACTATGAATGGCATCTGCCAGGGCATTAGGTGCATTGGATCTTGTACAAAGTCATTTGGTGTAAACAGAATATTTTAGAGAGTAGTAATGTGCAATAATAAATCACAAAGGTTATCAATAATCTGTTTATGGACAATGTTCTGAACATGTGTTCTCCCTATGTTATGGCTTAACATTTTAAGAGTATATTTGAGAAACTGCACAATCTCTAATTTCAAGGAGATTATAATTGTACAGAGAATTGTCCTCCCAGTTAGGTTGCCTCTGAGATTCAAAAACTTCCCCCAGACCCGCCAGTGCAAGGGTTTCCTGGTGTTTGGAAACTTCCTCTATTACAACTCCCTTCCCGGGACGGATCTCCGTCCCTAACTCTCTTGTTTCTCTTTTTTATCTTTTATATTTTGTCCTACCTCCTTTCGAAGACAAAGGGCTGCTTTTCTGGGTGTCTGATCTCCTCTGCTAGCGATCACAAGTTGTTTTGTGGAGTTTGCTCAGCGTTCAAATGTTCTTTCGATGAATTTGTGGGGGAGAAAGTAGTCTCCCGTCCTATTCCTCCACCATCTTAGTTGTCTTGTACAGAGAATTGATCTCTGTAAAGTTTCAGGGACATCTTTGAGAAATTAGGTAATTCTTCATTCCAAGGGACTGATCACTTCAGAGGCTTTTAAGGTCTCCATACTCACCTCTCTGCTCATTTTCCTGTCTATTGTTCTATATTTCTTACCATTAAACTAGGAAGAATAATAGTTCTAAATTAAACACCAAGACCAAAGCTCCTTAGGTACCTGGAGAAACTGGAGTGGACTGAGAGGACATATGTGAAGCTAATTCACAGTGGAAAAATTGAATTTAAACTTCTTGAAAAAGTAGGCTGAGTTCTTAAAGGTTTTGAATTTGGACAAGACCATGGAATCAGTCACATGCTTTGATTCCTAGAGTTACAAAGGAGCTTAGATGTCATCTAGTCCAACTCTTCATTTGAGAAATGAGAAACCAAGCTTTGTGCAGGTGAAGTGACTTGCCCTAGGCCATACAATCAACTAATCACAGAGTCAGGACCAGAAGTCAAGTTTTCTTATTCCCAGATCTGTGCCCCTCCCAAAATCGCCACCATAATCTTCAAGTTGGTTAAGGAGCTCTGGACAAACAGGAAGAAAAACAGAGAGTGGCTGTCCTCTGATCCTATCAAGGAGCAGTAAGAGTCTAAGATACAGGGAGGAATTATAGCTTTTCTGGAATTCATTTTCTTTTCATTTTTTTGGACCGAATTCATTTCCACTGCTTCACAGCACTGTGCTGGGATCTTTCAAAGGAGATGTAATATCAGGGAGAAGATACATATTTAGGGAAAGGACAGTGGGATGAGGGGGGTACTCTAGGAATCCCACGAGACACTTAATGAACCCCAAACAGGTAACAATTTGGAGAATGACAGCTTAAAGATGTCTCAGACTCTCAGGTGATCCTAACATCTGGGCCACAAAAGGAGTTTTTATTTTAGCTCATAAAGGAATTGGATAAAGTGAGAGTTTTAGAAATGGATTGAAAGAGGAGCAGGTCTTAGTCAGAAATGGAAATTTGTGATGATGAAGACACTGATGTAGAAGAAGACTGGGAAGAATTTGAATAAAATGGCTCCACAAAATATACAGTACATGTAAAGCAATACAGTTCATGTCTAAAACTCAGTACATTATTTAAGAGAATGGATTATTTTAAATAGGTATTAAACCATGTACTTTAGAGTGACTAAATAATTATACACAACAAAAATAATAAAATCAAATTTGAAACTGGAAAATTAAAAAGTAGGATCAAAATACACTGAAGTAGAATTTTTAAAGTGAGAGAAACCCTGTCTGGAAAAATTTAGTAAGACCACCTTTCCTAAAGGATATAGCGCACTTTGAGGAGCCAAAAACATCCCTTCAATCCCATTCTTCTGAGTTAACAAAATTGAGGCATGAAATCCAATTTCTTGGGAACTGTGGTAATGAAGATCTAGGACTGCCCTTATTGCTTGAGAACTGAATTATGAAGGATTGATGGGCGGTGGAAGAATAAAAACAGACTCGATAAAAGATGGCAGGCTGAAAAGATGGAAAAACATTTCATATTTGTAGTCAGACTGATAGTGGAAGCAAGTTCAAAGTCTTAAGTTGGTATTGCAGACTATTTCATGAATCTGATTTATTTAAATTGTTGAGGTGGCTGACTGAAACTTAAATTTAAGCTGGACTCAATTACACAATTGATGAGTAACTGTTAAGGTACCATAATAACTCAATACTCTCTCTCCTCTCTCTTTCCTGGCAACCCAATGTATCATAATTTGTATTTCATACAGCATCTTGCAGAAGGTGCTTCTAAGAACCTGTATGCCTTTGACTGACATAAATAGCCCCCGAAAACAATATCATTTTTGTTGTTGTTATGTGAAAAATGCCGAGTGCTATGTGAGAATTAACACCTCAGCTCCACAAATCCAGAACTGTGACTGCCTGCCTTTGGGTACATCAAGTATTTATTCACCTAAAACAGTCTGTGGACAGATAGTTGCAGACACCTTCCATCTTTGTCTAAAGAAGAAATGTGGGAAAACCCCTGAATAAATAAAATTGTTCTTGTAAGTATTCACTACTACTTTCCATCATATTATAGGCAGTTTCTATTCTATTGCGTGAAATCCACACCACCTCTAATCACAAACCATAACATGTATGCTGCATTAACTGGACTTTTCCAAAAGGTACCTCCCTGTGGCATCAGCAAGTTTTCAGTGGTCATTGTAGCATGAGTTACTTATCCAAGCTTCCTTGGGGAAGAAAGAACTAGGTATTGTAGGCCAGGCTAACGTCGAGTTTTAAAAATAAATTCATCTGTGAATATACATATTAGCCAAAATACATGCCTCTTTAAGAACTTGATGTTTTTGACTTACTTGATATAGTAGGGCACTTTGTTTGGTGAGATGGCTCTCTCCCAGGGACCCTGGACAGAAGCTAAAAAAGGGGGGGGGGGGGAAGAAAGGCAAAGAGGTCAAGTTCACAGCAAACAAGAAAGACAGCATTAATCTCCAGAATTACAATTTTACACTGATATTGGTCTGTTTGTTCAGTTGCCCATGAAGACAGGATGGATTAACGTGCTGTTCTGAAGTTTCTGTCCTGATATAAGTGAAATTGAACTCATTCAGGCACAAAGATAAATGCAAAGGTAAAAAAAACACACACAAAAAAACGTTCCACTGCTATACCTATAGAGCAGATAAGAAACTGAATGTGTACAGGTTTTCTCTTATGTGTCTCCATTGGGTGCTGTTCTTATAACACTTCCTGTTGCTGTTTTGCAGTATCTTTTACTGTTTGATTGACTGCGTTTTATTAGTTTAGCAGCTGAAACATCGCTCTATGATATATTTATATTCTAAGTTATTGACACTAAAGTACTCCACTTATCACTCTGATATGCTAGTTTTCCTCTTTATTTGGTTTGAACAGAATTCAATTTCATTTACTGATGACATGTTTTAATTGGTGCCTCAAAAATGTCAGATGACCAGCATGATCTGATTAGAAAAGATAACCCCAAGTGAGAGAATGGCACCTGATACTAGAGTGTAATAAAACTTTGGTGATGAGTGATGGATCCTACAGGTGAAATTAAATTTCACATACTGGGAATTCGTTTCATAACAACTTGATTGTATATCACTCAAATAAATCACTTTTAAATTGTTTTAAATGCTTAACTTGTAGTGCTGTTTTTTTTCTTTTCCAAAGTTGAACAACCTTTTATGTGTGGTTTAATATGATGGGGTTTTTTGGCTTCTTTAAGAGAAAATGATCATGTTAGGAGATATTATACCATTTCCTTAATAATAAAATCTTCCTCCTGAACAGAGTTTTAAGAAACTCCAGTTTTGATAGAGTTGCATCAAGCATTTAAATATAAGAAGCATTCTTATTAACAAACAGTAATTTTATGTGTATGTCCATCTTTCCCCTGAATTTTCATCCTGCTTCTAAGTTGAAGCACAGCTGATGTTGACCATTACTTCCTCCTATGAAAATCTCCCTTCTAAATTAGTCTCACAGTAAATTCAGTCCACAGTGTATTGAGATGTAAGAAAATGTCAAAGCTAATATATCCTTGACTACACTGCATAATATGAAAGAACAGCTTCTAATAAAACTTTGCCCACTGCCAGACAATTTAAGGGTAATGAAACTATAGATTCTTTGTTTTACATAAGTGATAGAGGGCTCAAATCACTCAGCCTTCAACCAGACATGCTGCTTTGTACCTTGGTGATATGTCATTTAACAGATATAAGACATGAATCTGTATTTAGCTGCTAATTATGCCCTTTCATTTTGGTGGACAGATTTTTAATATGGAGGAAAAAGACATTTATCTGTTGTTTGGAAGTAGTCCCTGCCTTCAAACTCTCCCTTTCTTTTTCTATTGTTCTCTCCTTCACCTTTATCATTATCTGCTCAACTCTCCTCTTGTCCATTATTCTTCTCTAGGACACAATTTTCTTGACCAGATTAGTACAGAGAGTAATAAGACCTGATCTGAGGACTTAGGCTGAATTCCCTGAGCTGACTGGGCAGTCTGCTGTTATGGGAACTTAAAAACCCAAGCCTTCTCTAGCATGAAACATGGTGGAGAGCCAGAGATCATGGCTCCTGGTTGCTCGGGGTGCCTACTTCTTAAAACCATAGCATAAAATCAGAAGGTAGAAGAGAACTCCAGGGAGCACTTGGTCCAGTTTGCGTTGGCTGTATTGCCAAGGCTATGGATGGCTAAGCAGAGAAGGAATGGTTCTTCTTTCCATAAAGATTGCTATGGGCTGAGCTGCACCATTTGTCTGATCATCCTTCTCCAGTTCCCTATTATTCTGCTGTTCAGTCGCTCAGCCGTGTCCAATTCTTTGCGACCCCATAACTGTAGCACGTCAAGCTTCCCTGTCCTTCACCATCTCCTAGAGCTTGGTCAAACTCATGTTCATCGAGTTGGTGATGTCATCCAACCATCTCATCCAGAAAGTCTGATCTGGAGGCTGCTGAGAATGTCCTCTGATAGCAGAAGAGTCTGTTCTACTGGCTGCTGGGTGGGGTGCTGGCTGGGTAGGGGTGCTCTGCCTGAATGCAACAACCTTCAAGCAGAAAATCTAGCAGGAAACAGAGGAAAAGTGGAATGCCTGCTGAGCGAATGGCCAGACTCACACCAGGCATCTATAGTGGACTTTGTACAGTTAAACATTAAAAAGAAAAAAAAATTCCCCAGAAAATGCCAGAGTAGTAGTTAAGAATATGCTTGAACTAAAAAGCTGAATGGATATAATTTTTAAAAAAGTTCTACAAAAAGGTAAGTTCCAGATCAATATGAAATTTTAAGCTCTTGTAATTGGAGTTTTTATTAATTTTTATAGAGAGTATAGAAATTGTATATGAAAATGGTGAATTTTTTTTACCTTCTAAAATAAAAGCTCATTGCCTTTCTGTGTAGCTATTAAACAGATCTGATGGTGAGATTCAGTGAAGCTTTTGTGCTGAAAGATGTTTTTCCCTCTTTGACTCACAATTCATAAATGCACCTAAGCAACTGCTTTGCAGTCATCATTTGAAAGTTGGAAATTTCATACCAAAAAATGTCCTTGATGCAATAAAAAAGAAAAATAACAGCCTTCCTCCATCTTGCCCCTGCCCTCTATCCCTACCACACACACACACATGGCAACTACTTGTTTTAGAAATAACACACAATCGGACATCGGTTCTATGTGATTGGAATCATTACTCCTCCTCAGGAGACTGCTAAAAGGTTGCTGAGCAAAAGCTCGGGGCTGCCGGATTCTGGTCTTGCATATATTCCAAAGTTGGTCAAATACATGGTAACTCTTGTAAGTGTGTTTCATAATTATCATTTCACTTCTCGCAGGAATGCCAATGCCAGCAACAGCTGTTTCTTATCTCAGGGTACCAGTGGAAGCTTGTCATCCCTCACAAAGCTAGTCTACACGATAGGCAGACACATCTCTTATGCCTAACATGTCCATTTTTACTAGCCCATCACATGCAGATTTACTGGCAAACAGTTTTTAATGACGCTCTGCTGTCCTTTGGTATTTTCTTATACAGATGTTTCTATAACTGCTACATGTAATTCCGATGCAGCTTTGTGATTCAGATTCTCAAGGGTAAAAACCATCCATTATCATACGGCAGCAGCACCGCGGGGTATTGTCTACTGAATTTAAATAGCAAACTACACATGAGTTTATTTATTCCAAAACCAACCTCTGCATTTCCCCTTGGTTACAGAAGCAGCATGATATCAACATCAAGAAAGGGTAACAGTTCTACTTTCAAATCTCTGTCCTCCCTCGAGGTGACAGGATTCAATATCGTGCCCGAGGTGTTTTTGTAAATCACCTACACAGGGCCCACTGTTTCAGGGAAGTTCTCATTTCTACCATTTTCTAATGCATGATGAACAGAATGGGCCAAGGGGAAGCACCCTGGTGTTAAGCCATGTTTTAATCAACACAGGGACCCAACCAGAAAATTAGAAAGAAAGCTAGTATTATTTACCCTGTGCCAAAAGTGCACTCGCTGGAATCCAGACCCTCCTATGTTCAGTAATCTTTCTACCTTTCTTATATTTGGTGGTTTTGGAGTTTAACAACATAACTTGGGTCAAAAGAAAGTGGGGACAGTTTATAAAAATAAATAAAACCCACCAATTCACTGGGGACAAAAGAGAAACCTCACCTGTGGGGGTTATGAAAAAGGCATTGGGGAAGATAGGTCAGCTCCAGAAGCATGCGGATTCCAAGAATGGTTTTTATGGACTCAGTCTATCAAGATCGACACTAGAGCAACATTTCTCAACCTTTCCCCACTCTCTTCCCCAATTCCGGGTATCTTTTCTTTCTTTTCAAGAAGATCAACACAGAAAACATCTTTATTTCTCTTTACTGAACTTCCATGTACTAAAGTCTATTTTTTCAGTCTATTTTTTGCTCCTAATCACCTTATGCCACAGATACACTATATCTGTATCAGTTTCTGCATTTTTGTATGTATCCGTGCTTCACATATAAAAAGAATGAGTTTTACATCTCCCCAAAACCAATTTTTGCCCTCTTGGGGGCAATATCACTTTGTTGAAAATTCTTGATCTAGAGGAAGTGATGGGAGGGGTTGGGGGGGAAAGGAAAACCCCTCTCTGTACCTGAAATGTGACTTCAAATAGCTCATTTGATATAGTCAAAGTGACTTGTGAGGTGGGTATTATTATTTTCATTTTGCAGATGATCAAACAGTTAAGATCACATGGGAAGATATGTCTAAGGTCATAAATCAGTAATTATTAGATGGTAATTTTGTTTTTTTTTTTGTAATTTTGGTTTATTACTCAGAGTTAAAGTCAGATGATTCAGGAAGTGGAGAAAACACGGCTATCACATGTCTACTCTGTACCACGCATTGTGCTTCTTAATGTGATCCTTCCAAATGCCCACCATGGTCATGCTATTCCATTGTCACACATAAAGCAACCCAAGCTCAGAAACAGTCAGTAAACTAACTCAGCTAGTAAAGGGTCACACAGCTAGTAACACGTGTACCCCAGATTGCCACCAGGTCTCTTCTTGGTAACAGCATTTGTAACTGTTGGGTGCAGCAGTGTTCCCAAGGTCCTGAGAATGTTAGCTGAGGGTATTCAGGTGAGGCTCCTGGGAAAGTTCTTTCAAAGACTGACTGAACTGAAAGGCAGCTTTGCCCTTTTCCCATCTGCCTTCTTCCTGCCTTGGATGTGATGATGTTCGGAGCTATAGTAACCAGGAGAACAGAAGCCGTCTTGGTTGCAGCTCCCCAGAAACAGACAGGCACAAGGGTCTGAGTGAAAGGAGTTAGAGGCCTGATGGAAGAAGGCATTGGGAGAAGAGCCAGAAGTGGGTCAGGAAAGGGAAGCAAGCTGATCAAGGATG